ACCAACTAAGAAAAACAATCGCTGTTACTCAACAATGGTAAAAGTGGGCTGTTTGGGAAATAAGCCCAGCGACCCTTACCTGGCAGAATGGGCAGGAACACTTCTTACATCTATCTCTTGACCCAGCTGTTCTCATTTAGGGGGGTCCTCAAACATAAAGAAAACAATAAAACTATTTTAAAATGTCAATTTTTGGCAATAATTATGTAATATGGAAATCTGTCCTTATTTCACATATGTCTTACCTGGTGTAGATGGCAGGAGCGCCCTCTTCACGCCCTCTTCTTCTTAGATGCGTGGAGGTAGATAATGGCGTAAATTTAGAACGCCATCTTCATAAGCCATGGAAAGTGTCGGCTGTCTGGACCAGTAATGGTCAGGGGCGGTGATGGTCATCTGTCCATAATTCGGCAGATGAAACATGCACTGTGTGTTTTAAAGGGATTTTATAAGTTTCAAGTGGTTTCACCAGCTAATAATAACAATCACTTTCACTCAGAAAAAGTAAAAGTGGGAGAAATAAGTGACAGATATAAGACACTTACCTCAATATTCCGAGTGATCCTTTGCCGGCAGAGTGGACAGTTTGGCCTCTCCTGCACCCATCTCCTGATGCAGCCAGTATGGAATTGGTGGGAGCAGCGCAGTGTGGTGGTCTGCGCTTCCTCTTCCAATTCCTCGAAACAGATGCTGCATTCAGGGCGTTCCTCCCTTTGCTGGGTATTGAGAGGGGGTCTGTGGATGTTCCCAGGCTCGGGTTGGTTCCGATCCACGGGGGATCGGCTTCTGTCCCTCTGGGTGGACTCAGGGTTCTGACCACTTCTAGATCTCTGGGACTGCAGATCTTCACTGAACGAATGTAAAGAGATGACTCCTCCAATGTTTTCGGTGGGAAAATCTTGCCCTGCAATAACAATGATAAGAGTGATGTTTAGTTACTTCCCTCCTGACCAATGATAATGAAGAATTCTAAATGATCTATAGCTTTATCTTATACAGAATGTTCCTCTATTGCCAACAACCCAAACCTTCATCACAGAGCAGAAGGCTTCTCACATCTAATTAACAAAACCATTTTTATTATCTCACCTTGCCACCGACGTATTGTTGGCACTCCATCAATACACTTGATGCGGAGCGGTTGCTGTCTCCTATAGAATCGGACTGGGAGTTGGACAGCTATCGCTTCATTATCCGGTAAATTATATGTAAACTGTGTGTGAGAGGAGAGAAAATGACATTTATTAGGTGTTTCCTAAAATGTTCTTAATCAACAAAATAATCTCTAAATGATTTCTCCAGATAATAATAACAATCACGTTTACTCTGCAACAGTAAAAGTGGGAGAAATGACTGACAGAGGTTATAGACGTACCTGAATATTACTAGAGACCCTTTCCTGGCATACTGGACAGTTTTCACTCTCCTGCACCCATCTGCTGAGACAGCCGATGTGAAATCCATGGGAGCAGTGCAGTCTGGTCATTCCTGATATCTCCACCATTTCCTGTGAGCAGAGTCTGCAAACAGGATGATCCCCCCTCTGCTGGTGACTGAGAGGGGGTCTCTGGATTGGTCCAGGTTCCGCATTGCTCCGATCAACAGGAGAGCGGCTTCTGTCCCTCTGGGCCCAGTCAGGAATCTGATGTCTCCGGGGCCGCTGGTGTTCCGGCTCTCTGCCCTGAAGTGGCACTCTGGACCTAGTCCTGTGCTCTATAGGAGAATCGCGCCCTGCAAAAACAATGATATAGAGATGTTTAGTAAATGAGAGTTAAGGTGCCCATACAACTGCCGATTATCTTTCGATAATCGCGGGTGATCCCGCGATCGTATGATAATTGGCAGGTGTATGGAAGGCGTGGGACCGTTTCTACTGTACGGTCGCACGTCTTTTGTCTTCCGAGCACGCTGGAAAAGTGGCGTGCTCGGAAGACAAATGCCGAACGGGCCGCACACTGCCCGCTCAGCATTGGAATCATCGGTAGCCCTCCCCTCAGCGGGCAGGGCTTGCGATGATCACAAATACGATCTGCCTGTCCAAGATGGGCAGATCATACGAGATTTTAATGACCTTACAACCATCGCCCAATGAAAGTCGTGCGCTGGTTGTAAGGTGTATGGACAGCTTAAGACATGTAGACGTGAATCCGGGCAATTTGAAAACGAATGATTAAAGATCAATCAGACAGGTGAGATAATAATAAATCCTTTAATATATTAAACAATGTATCAGTATGTCACCTGCCTGATTGATCTGTAATAAGGATCTGAATTATAATATACATTATAGATTGCATTCATAATAACCGGCTCTGATAGCAATAGATCTGATACAGAAAGCTAACACACCAGGATAAGGAGCCTCATCTACTAAGAAGTGACAGTTATTCTCAGCTGAGTCCAATGAGATTTGACAGTTACATGTCTACAAATAGAGCTCCTTATGCTTGTGTTATACCGCGTTTCCACGAAAGTAAGACCTACCCCGAAAGTAAGACCTAGCGCTATCTTCAGGGATTTCTGTAATATAAGACCTACCCCGAAAATAAGACCTAGTTCGGTGGTAGGTCTTATATTACAGAAATCCCTGAAGATAGCTCTAGGTCTTATTTTCGGGGTAGCTGCACATATAATTGAAATGTACATGTCAAGACTGGCCGCAACTCCCTCCCGTTCCCCCCCGCCGTCCGCATGCACGCACACCCGCACACATACCTGTCTGCCTCGGCTGCCGCTGAAGACTACATTTCCCAGCAGGCACAGCACGGGTCGAAATTAGGTCAGGGAACTTCTGACTGGTGGCTCTCCGGACGGCATCAGAGCGGAGAGCTCCAGACAGCTGCAGCCAGGTAAAAATAAGACATCTG